GAAGAAGAAGAAGAAGAAGAAGAAGAAGAAGAAGAAGAAGAAGAAGATATAGACTCATTAAGGCAGCAGGATTATAGTTGCTTTTTTTTGTCCTTTTTCAGCCAAAAACGGAGGGAGCTTGTTGTGGGTTGTTGGTGTGTGAGTGAAAGCAGAGGATTCCGCACCTGTTGCTTGTTTTGGAAACAGCTCCAAGACTTCTTGTCACTGTGAGAATCAGCTGTCATAACAACTTCATGCAGAAATCTCATCTGCAAGTTGACTTGATGTTAAGGGCTGAAGCTGGCAGAAACCAGTCATTCTCAGGGCGGATGGCAGCAGTAGGCAAACAGGAAACGAGTGCAGGTAGTCTTAGACTTATGAACCCAACATTTCTGTTGCTAAGCAAAATGTTTGTTAAGTGGGAATTTGCCCCAATTTTATGACCTTTCTTGCCAAGATTGTTAACTGAATCCCGGCAGCTGTTAAGTGAACAACAGAGTTGTTGAAGTGAATCTGGTTTCCCCATTGACTTGGCTTAAAAGAAGGTTTTGCAAAAGGGGATCATGTGAACGCCCCCCCCCCCAGGGGCACTGCATATCTGTGAGTCAGTTGCCAAACATCTAAATTTTAATCATGTGACCATGGGGATGCTGCAATTGTCATAACGTTCTGCTATGCAAAAACCTAACTGGAGTGCATGATTGATGACTCTTGGCTATGGATGTGTCCCATTGGAGAATTTGAATTATGATACACCCAGGGGGTGGGGGAAAACCAGGATCAAGGGTGACAATGAATGATGTGTCTCAGAAATCGATTACACCCAGGCAGCGCTGGACATTTTTAACTCCCAATAAATCCTTTGAAGTTTTGGAAGTTTGGCTCGAGACTCATGATTTAATTGGGGTAACTGCCGGAATCCTGACACATAAGTGCAGAAAATGGTCATAAGTCATTTTTTTCAGTACTGTTGTCATTTTGACAGGTCACTAAGTGAATTGTTATAAGTGGAGGACCATGCATGTCACCAACTTTTCAAGGTCAGGAAAAGCATGTCCAAAGTTCACTGACTCAGGAAAAGGCCTAGGATCTAAACCTCAGAACTGATATTTCTGTCTTTTTTTAAGTTTTTTTTTTAGTATGCATATCTTTACATATTTATGATTCTTGTCTATAGAGAAGCAGCTTATTCACGTGCCTGAAATCTGTGGAGATTGTGTTATTAGCTAGTTATTAAATATATGACTGTTCTGGGGAGCTACAATTTATTAAGATGCCTTGTGTGAAGTCTGATATTCAGAAAGTGTCCTCAGCTAGAAAAATTGAAAGCATTTGTGAACTTACAGCTAATAAGAAATCAGGTGCCAAAGAGAAAAGCTTTCACAAAATTGTTCATAACATTTTCTACTTAATACAACTCTATTCTCAATGACATTTCTTGTAATCTGAAGCCTTGAAAAGACCTTTTGGGTAACTAAAGTCTAAACAAGCATATAAAAACTGGACTGTTGACTTGTTTATTGGAGATGAAGATACAAAAGTAACTTTTTTTTTACTCTTAGGGGTTTTAATTTGGAAGCTTCCATGTGTTTTCATTTATGAGAAAATGTTTAAAATCAGCTTGGATTCCCCTCTGACAGAGAATGAAAAGGAACTTAATAAATTCCAAGGAATTTACCATTGTTCCCCATAATATAGATACGGCCACCTTTTCATAAAACCAACTTCTTCACAAGAGGTTAAAATAATTTAGAGAAATAAGTCTTTATATCAAGTGAAAAATGTCAGGGACTGATATGCGAACCTTATTAGTAGGTAATCATTTCTAAATTTTCTCAAATGAATTTGTCACACCATACTAAACCATAATGTGGTTTGTCTGTTATTGCTTTTAACATGATAAGTAAACCCACCCAGTGTTATATGGGCTACATTATATGTAAACCATGCTTTTGATGATTGTTCAAGAAACCAAGACAAATATTTGTGTTTTTTTAAATTGTGGATTTTAAAAGAATCTGATCCAGAGATGGATAGGAACATAGCCATACTTCAACACAAATCCTTCAAAATGCATTAAAACAGACATTATCTTTTTTTGACCTATCCCCTTCCCCTCAAAATTAAGAGATTAAATTAGCTATTGTTGAATTACATTTTGCTATTCTCTCAATACAACTGTGTACACATTGTAGTTGGAGGGTGTTGTTGCTTTTGATCAATTTTGGGCTTGTGAATATTGCAGTGTATTGTTTTAATCAAATGGTAGGTTTCAGAATAAATGTATTTATTAGAATAAATTCATTCACTTTTAGAAAGTAAAACCTTGTATGGTTGGGTCCATGTAAGTTATACCCAAAAACTTACCAAAAGTTGAATGCAACATTGAATGTTGTTTTTGTTGTTAATTAAGTGGAAAAGAACAAAATGAAATGATGTCTTATTCCAGCTGTTTTGGTCAGAAATAATGAAGAGTGGCTATCAGGCATTAAAGAGCAGGAAATGGAGAACTGTCATATTTCCGTATTTCAACAGTGCCCCAAATATCCAAGGTTAACAAAATAGCTAAGGGCAGCTAATGGGTCCAGAGGTCACATTTTGACAGACTGAGTCCCCTTGCCTGCAAAGATCAAAGATTTGCAGCTCCTTTCCAAACTGTCCTGAACGTGCTCACCTGGAGCTGCCCTAGGAAAGGCAATAAAATAACACATTGTGAGATGTGTAGCACAGTGACACTCCTACTTACCTGCAGAGCCTCACCTTGCTGATGTCTTCTGGGGCAGGTGCCCTGCCAGGCATGTCTTTCTGCTAACCCTGAGTGGCAGTTTCACCATCTGTCAAACAGCCTATTTTGAGAAGCAGCGGCAGCAAGCAAAGATAAAAGATTTGTTTAACTAATTTCTTGCAGAAGCTGCTGCTTTTAAAATAGCAACGGTATTTACGTACTGCCGACAGGCGTTCAGGGTGCCTCATGTACATCATCTTACTAAGGGTCACCCCAGAAAGTTCAAAATAACCAATATATTTACTCCTACGCTGGATGGGAATTAAGAGATTGTAATCTCAGCATGGTTGGAGAGCATCAAATTGGGGAAAGATAGTCTACATCTCAAAATAATGATTCCTGATCCTGCAAAGTTGCAAATATCATAGAAGGAGGTCATGAAGTTCTTTTTCAAGATGGCTGACAAAAGCAAGTGCTATCAGAACTTGCTTCCATTTTGGCCAAGTGAAACAAAGTG